ACAGCATAATCTACAGCATAATGTGTGTAACGAATGATAATTTAAGGGACCGTTTCACAATATATATTGTCACTAACAAAAAATTTTTTGGTTGAATCACTGTTGACATCTGAATCGTTTCAAATATTCAAAATCGTCACTATCGGTTTTCACCGATTTGGGGCCCTTATAAAGTTTAAACTAACTTCAACAAAAATTTAAACTCAGTTTGAACTTTCAGGAGCTGTTCGGAGTTTTATAAGTTCCGATTACGACAGTTTCACCCAACAAACGAATCGTACGATGTTCACCACTTTTTTTAAGGACAAAACACAAGCACTACAGAAAAATTCTCAAATAGGTCCCAGAGCGGTTCCTGTGCGAAAGTAGTGATTCAGATTGAATTTGAATCGCTGAGGCCGTGGTCTACAGGTATTTTTACTTTACGTTTCATCTGCTACTGCGGCAGATGCAGCAACGGTTGAAGTGATCTGATTTACGCCTTGTACATCGCAGCAAGGTAAATCACTTCGACCGTTGCCGCATCACCTTTGATTATATCTGCTGTAGACCACGGCCAATAAACTAGGAAACATTGAACAATTTGTTAGATATCGGTTGTGAAATACTACATACCATAAATTTCATAGCATAGCATATTCTAGGGAATTTATGAATAGTAAACTGATGAATAGATATAATGTATCTCTTTCACTGACAGGAAGCACAAGAAACCACAATAATATATGAAAACGGCTGACAGGACTCTGTTTTACCATCTGGCTAAGTTTCAATATGTTCAGTAGATGTCGCATCTGGATAAACTTCCCAGTCATCAGCATACATGAATAGTCTACCCTCTGATATATGAGAGGGAAGATCATTAATGTACACTGTACACTGCTGTGGAATAGGCAAANAGGTGTTAAAAATAACGATTTGGTGTTGGGAAAAAACTCCAGTAATATTGCTTCTATAATGGTTACCGCCTATGAATATGCTAGAAAAACTCTAAATGATATTAAATATTCACATCCATTTTGTTTCTCACTACAATATCCTTCAAAATCAAAATTTAAATGTATCTATTTCTATGAATTAATCGTAGGTATTAATTAATTTCCATTAACACATTGAATGTGATATTAACCACATTTTTAGTACTTACATATAAATATTCATTTTTACATCCTATCTTCTTTTCAAAAAATAGGATTTAGATTGAAATATATTTTTGAGAAATATCGTTGTAGATAAATATGTAAATATTAGTTGTCATCCCACCTTGGGTCTTAGATTTTTTTTTTCATTTCTTATTGAATCTCTAGATACTATTTTGGATTCCAACTTATTTGTATTACGAAGTTTAAAATAAAATAAATAAATATACAGTAACGTACCATTATCGCATACACATATTTTATATGACATGGGGTCTTTTGTACGGCTGATTTTCGCATGAGCCCCGACCACAATAAAAAGCTAAAGACCTTAGCTTTCTATTGTGCACACTAAGCTGTGCCCCGACTTTCATGTTTCAGGTTGCATTTGAGCTTAGGGCAGGGTTGCTAATGACATCTATAAAATATCCACACCATCCAAACCCGAATTTATCCGCGCGCTATTTCAAAATACACGGATTTTACCTTTTTTTGTCAGAGCTTTCAAAACTCATCTTATTCACAAACACTTGTACCTAATTTTTCTACAGGGAGTGACGGTTTGATGTCTAATTATAATAGAAAAATACTACAAAAATCGAATTTCATTTCACAATAAAATATGCGGAAAAAATTTTACAACCTAGTCGTAAGTGCGGAATTTTCTACGAATTCATTATAATTTACAGAACTCAGGACGCTCAAGTGCGCCATCCGCATGTTATATACCTAAGCTGCACATGTGCGCTTTCCGCATTGAAAGTGTTTTAAAACATATTTCATCAATGACACTTCTTTATCAAATTTTTCTGCTGTATCGCAAACCATGTTTGCTTTGTCATAGAGTTAGTTTATGACACCTTTGTGTGATGATTTAATGTGTAGTGAAGGTAGTAACTAAGCATTTTCTTTAAACATTTGTATCAATATGATCTGATCACTTTTTCAACATAAAATCTAGGAAAAGAAGTTGACCATCTTTTTCAATCCCTGTTGTGAACTCTGTTGTCCGTTCTTGTTCTTTTACGTGATTCAAAAAAGCATTCAGATCACTATGACACTTATACCGAAGAGTAAAGACATCATCAATGTATTTGTGATGCATTGTTTGAAACCTTTGGTGTAGTAATGAATATTATTGTAGTTTCTTCTCAACACCAAACCATTATTTTAATACCTCGACACGTGTTTCGATCACCAAATGATCATCGGGTCTGTTCGATGTTTCAATTTTTCCAGATTGTGGAAGGTGAAAATTCCCAGAAAAATTCATAGAAAGAATTCTAGAATTATTCCTAAACCCCTTTTTGTAATGTCGACTCAATTTTCAAGTATATTCTATACGTGATGGAACTGGCAGATACTTGATGAAAATCCATATCGTATTTAAGTAACACTTTATTGTGAATAACGGAAACCTGTCACCTCTGAATTAGGGTCACTGTTCATTTTTCATCAAAAATAATCTTCATTGTAAATTCATCATTAAAAGATGTTACTTTCGGATTTTTTTTTTCAGTTACTTTTCGATTTATTTGATTGAAACTGTGTTATACTGTAACTGAGGTGTCATCGTTAGAGTAGTTTACTTTATTGTGAAATTTCCACTAGTTTACAAAACCGCAAGACGTGTTTCGCTATACAATAGCTTTATCACACGTTTTTATACTAAAAAAGCTTGATAAAGCCATTGTATAGCGAAACGTGTGTTGCTGTTTTCTAAATTCTCTAGTGGAATCCTCATAATAAAGTATTACTTGGATAAGTATTTTCCTTAATGTATACCTACTCACTCTTTGGCAGAGATGCTGAAAACGTATCTTTCTATCAATGATATATCTGCCTAGTCCTTGAACAGGACACTGTGATATATTTCATTCAGACTTCCCATAGCCAAATACTCATTTTCAAAACCCGTGTCATTTACATATTTAAATAAAATATTAGGAATAGAGTCTAAATGCAGAGAGGAAATTATATTCACTTATTTAATTATTTCAGGTCCTATATTCGACAGAGCCTGGAACTATTGAAGAGAAACAAATAAAAGGGTGCGAAGTACTCTGTCCTTTGAAAAAATTTGTAGAGCTAACTAAAAATGTTATTCCAAGAAACTACACAGCAGAATGTAGATCATTGATCAGTTTAGATTAATATATTTTAGAACAATTTCAATTATAGAATGAAATATAAATGAAAAATCAAATCTGAATTTTTTGTAAAGGTTTTGGCTTACTACTTTTACATTTTTATATACAAAAAAAAATGTGGGAATCTTCCAAGGAAAGGAAGAAAGCAATCAATTCCACACAATTAACTCAATACAAAAATGTGTAGATCATGCAAAGAAGTAACTTTCACATGAGATTCTAGCTTCTGCACATATTGACTGTATTAACTGGAACTTCTATCTCAGGGCACTCAACCCCAGGGGAAGGGGCATGGTGGTGGCGGAATTTGGAAGTACTTCGGCATTTACCTTTGTAAGTAGTCATATGATATATGGCTGGCTCAAAATATGTGGAATTTGTTAGTATTTATGGCAAATGAATCTAAGAAAATATTTTGTTTCAATAATAACGGAAACATGTCACTTTTCGATTAGAGTCGCTGTTCTTTCTTTATCAAAAATAATCTTCATTTTAAATTCATCTGTGAAAAGGGTTCAGTTATTTTCGGATTTTTTCCCAGTTTATTTTAAAGTTATTTGATTGAAACTGTGTTATACTATAACTGTGGTGTCATCAGTAGAGCAGTTTTCTTCAATAGATAAAACGTGATAAAAAATATAATTTATATGTTCACTGCTGAAAATTGACAATTCCTGCAATGTGGATTATTGACAAACTGGAGTTTTCATAACATTTAAAAGAGCAAGAATAATAGTGCAACAAAGTTTGAGTAAAATCACTGTGATGTTTCCAAAGAAAGTGTCCTTGTGGTCATAGTAATACTTATATCTACCCTTGCGCAAAGTGCAATTTAGTCTATTTCGAGTTAATGCATATGCTGGCAGAAAAACACTTATTTTGATTAATGATAGTTGAAGTTAAAAGTTTTGCCAATGTTATTGTAACAGTTGGGTCTCCTTTTTCCACTCTTCCCAATCACCTACAATTATTGAATCAGTGGTAGATCATTTATCATAAAATTCAAATTTACGTTCGTGAAGAATATTTGTTCTTAAGTGTTTTCTCAGTTAATGTAGGGGAATTTCAATCTCATGTTTTGTAAATGGCCATTACTTTTGCTGATTTTGAATATCTGGAAAAAATTATTCACTGAACTAGCAATTTATGGAAATTGTTAAGAGGTTTCACAAGTTGGTTTTTCAAGTATTGCATTTGTGAATACATGAATCGCCACTTGACATCATGATAAGGGAAAGGGAAGAGGGAAAAAGAAATCTCGTGACTCTGAGAAGCTTCGTAGATTCTATGTTGATGAGTATTTAATGATGCTTTCAACTATATTTGACAAAAAATCTTGATATTCCCTAGTTTATAATGAATTAACAATTAATTCACGTAGATTAGGAGTACTGGCAATATCTAAGAAATCAACATAACATGTTGTTATGTATATGTATATGTTCATTAGTATATAAAAAAAAATGGAAATAAAAAAAGGGAGAAAATTAACAAATAGCAATAATGAGTCTCATGAAAATGTGTATATCACCCACAGGTGCTCCAGAGGTGTACTGGAGTCAAGAGAGTCTACTTCCCATGCGGACATCGAGTTACACAACTTTTTTTTCTCTGAATTTGTACACCAAACATTCATGTGAAATGTTTAGGAATAGTTGACAACATTAGTAACCCTTAAAATTCAGGAGACGAAATAAAAGGAATGAACAAATAAGCTCAGATGTAGTATTTAATATTTATCAAAAAAGTAAAACATAACTTATCGTTTTCTGCGCAATTGCAGAGAGTTTCGTCTGAGCCAGGCAGCTCGTCTGGAACCACCCTTTGTTTGGGAATATCTGTGTCCCTTGCCCAAACCACGTGAAGACTTTCCTGCAGACGTTTTACCACGTAGTTCACGGTGTTTGTGGACAGCATTCACTATCCAATTAACTTTAGGATCACGACGAATTGCCTGAAAAAAAAAGCCTGATGAGCTACCAATAGAAAGTAACTTATTTCTTTCATGAGCTATGTATAAATAATGTTATTGTAATGTATGATATATAAGATGTTTATTTAACATGTGGCAAAAAATAAGGTACTATTCCTTGGGCTATTCTAAGGATATTTTGTCCTTTGATGATTTTTGATAGGTCGCTTCGTTTCGAAGATACAGGGCGAAAAAGAATTTTGACAATAATAATTTTGGTAATTTTAAAATTGTTAACGAAGCCGAATTGTTAACGAAGCCGAAATAAAAGTATAGTATACTACACTGGACCTATCAAGTAATAAAAAAATCTAACAATTTCGATGGTACTTATCAACACAATTCTGATTACTAAAAACGGCTGCAGACATTCAATTTGCTCCGTATCTTCGAAACAAAGCGCCCTACCAAAAATCATCAAAGGATAAAATATCCTTACAATAGTGCAAGGAATTGTCCCTTAAATTTTTGCTGCATGTTTAATATGTGAATTCATAGTCCTTGAATAAAAACCATTGAATGCTTTCCAACTAAAACTAATACAGTCGTCTCAGCAGTCCTTCCAAATTGAAAGAAATGAAAGTTATTTAAATTTCAATTTTGTAGGTATTCATATATGGACACATATCAACTAATGAACTCATTGATATAGTTTAATAGAATCATTCAATTAAAAAAATCGCAAATACGTCATCAATAAAATATGGGATAAAACATGTATGATTGTTCCACAACATGTATATCAGAGTTGCAATATGGAATATTAAATATGTTTTCGCAGGCTACTCAATTTCATAAATGAAGCCAATTCTTTATCAAAAGTTTTAAAACAGTAGCCATAACATTTCATTCTCATTACTTCATCTGCTTATTTTTGATGCACAAATTAATGAAGCATGTGTAATCTTTCACTGCACCAGGATAAGTCAACGTTTTCTGTTAATACTGAGGAATACCAATTGGGCCGCCACAGATGAAAAAAGTAAATTTTATTGAAGGTGAAGTGCTCAAGATAAAAAGAAGTGGCAATAAACCGATTGATTGACATTCAGTAGCTCCACTTATAAGGTGAGTACATTTATTCAGGACTTTCGTTCATATACATACTTTCACTCCTAAACTAGTTTTCACTATAACTTCAAGTTAACTTTTTCGGGGAAAATAATGAAAATTGATGTTACAGCATTGAAATCTTTTCAACCACAAGTCACACTGCGGAACGTAATGCAGTAATGTGGTCACCCCAAGGGTGGCGGGTTCGAAACTGTTTCAACTGATTGTGAATGATACAGGTGAATATTTTAATTCCCAGTACCTCTTGTACTTGAACTTAGAAACTTTTTAGAGCTGCAAAATCATGTGAGAATTTGGAAAAGTGTTCGGGGTGATGAACATTTCAGTAACCTGGTGGCTACAAAATAACCTTGACCTAAATGTAGCGAAGTGCTCTTATATTTCTTCCCAATAAAAACTATGATGCAGTAATAAATAGAAGCCATCATTTGTTGGGTGAGGTTGAAAAGGTTGAATAGGTTGGAAAGCCTGATTTTTTTCATATTAATCAAGCCATCCTAAAATTACAACTGATTGAAAAATGTATAAATGATGTAGCAAAAAAAAAATAAATAAATGAATAGACGACATTGCGAATCCTTTGTAGAGCTCAATGATATTAGCATTACAGCAGATTAGAAATTTTGCTCTACTTCAATTAAAAATGATTGATCTTAATGACCTATTGACTATTCCATTTTATGAAATATTGAAATTAATGGAGTGGCCCTAATGAAAAACACGAGGATTATTATGATTTTGACCTGAATATCTTTAATTTGTTACGTTCAGCTTTCATCAGACTCTCAAAGGCATGAAGAATTGTACTCGAGGCTGTGTCACTACTAAATATTTGAAAATTTCGAACAGAAACAAGATGCTCATTTTTAATAAACCATTGTAGTTTTCATTATACCCAATTAGTAATTGGGAAAATATAAAAATGGCCAACCAATTCCAAAGAAAGTCTAGTTTGAGATTCATAAAGTAATAAAAGCTGAAGAGGTATGTACAACTTCTTTCTAGTTCTGAATTATTTTGAGCTGCCAAGTTATTCCAGCAAACTTCCTTGTACTTCAAAATTGACAACTCAAGAAGTTGATCCGAGCTGAACTATGTTTCCTTGAAATATTGTCAACTAACCGAAAACTCCTCTGGTTTTGTTAAAACTTTATCTCACTTCCGTTAATGTGAGTTGGAAAAACCAACATAAAGCAATTTTACTGGAGGTCTTACAAAACTTAATTCACATAATGGAACTTACGTTATGTGATGGGTCAACCAGAATAACTTCAAAATATTTATAAGAAGAGTCCTGAGCAACCCAGTATGAGTTAAGAACTCTCAATCCACCACATCTTCTTCCCACACGTTCCTGCAAGAAAATGAAAATATTAAAAACAGATATATGTCTGAAACATAATGTTTATAGTAATTACTGAAAAGTGATAGAAAGATAGATATAACAATAGCATAACATCAAATAATAAATAAAATCAAAACTGAAGTTGTCAAATAGATAAAAAATTACCATTTTACTTTCTATGTTGTTGACTAAATACAACAATATTGTTAAAATAGAGCAGAATAGCACATTCTTTCAGAAATTCAATATTTACTTTTCTATTCTACTTGAATAAGCTTCAATCATTTCAGGCAGTATGTATATCTTATAGATTATCTCAATTTAGAGCTTTATACAGATAATAAGATGTTGAGAATACCATTCAATTATAAATCGTTCCTTTCCTAAATCGGTGCCAGTCTAAAAGATTTTCAAGCTGGTTAATCGAAATAATAATTGTTATTCATTATTTAAAAGAGAACTTACAAAAATAATACTCTAAAAAGCAAGGGACACATGCTACAGGTTTATGGGCCTACATCAGCGCTGTGTAGCCCATTGCAAAAATGGAACATATCATTGCAAACACAATCATGAATTCATCTACAAAAGCAAATTGAACATCTATGGTTTCAATAAAAAAAACTCAGCATTTCTAGCATTTCCCATATTTGATCTTGAATATACAATGCAGATAAAGAGCAATAAATCAGAAACATGTGTCCACAATTTTTTTTTCAAGTATGCCTCTTTTTTAACTTAAGTCAAACATGGCATAATACATCATGACATATGACAGTAGATACAGACAAAACTCTACTACTGAAAAGCACTTCATGATATAAGGTATTGGGTAAGCATATGCTGTCAGCTCCTCTGCGTATTTATCATTAGTGTTAGATACCATATATAGATGTTAGGTGTTTTTGAGATTCATTTGCCATTTTTTTAATATTATTTTTCATTTAGTATTGAGGTAGCAGCTAAACAATTAAAATGACAACTTGAAAATACACAAAAGGGCAAAAAGATATGCTATAAATAATATCCTTATCCTATAAGTGATCAATTGCCGAGATATTACTTCATAGAATTCCTTGTCACTATTTTGAGAGCTTGATAGAGTATAAGGAAGCACCTACATGAATCTGAATGAGACCTAATCATTAATAACTTAAGCTTTTTTATGTTAGCAGGTCAATTAACATATCAACACAGCCTTTAAAGGATAATTTTTAACACTATCTTACTGAAACCATTCAATAAGTAAACACCATTTTGGTTTGAAGTTGTCAAACCAGTAGTTTAATAGCGCTAAACCTTTCAGAAACGGAATTGGCAGATTCGTTTGAATAGTGTAAACACCTACTTGAAGGGGCATACTAATTTAGTGACATGAAAATAGTACATGTTCTTTGACAGGATAAGACCCTGCTTGTTGCAATGAGAAAGCACATGGTTAATGAAAGATGAAACTTAAGTAGATCAAACACTTTCCTTTCACTAGAACATTGCAACAAAGGACAATTCGAAAACTCCCAAACATATGCAAACATTGATTTTCATTGACCCTTTTTCACCTTTAACCACCTAAAAAAACAAAAACTGTGGAAGAGAACTTTTTAGTTCACCTCGATAAGTTACTGCATGAATTTCAAGTGTTTTTCAAAGATAAATGTTCTATTAATCAGTAACAATCTTGCCTACCAAAAAAGTGCCAAGAAGTTGTACAGGTACTTACCTTAACCAACTTCAGAATTGTAACTTGTACTTCCCTAATGTTTTACATTTTATAGAATAAATAATCCAATGTGTGACAGCTCATAGGTGAAATTTACAATGAGTCAGATGTATTGCGTTTCAAATGAAGGAAGTTACTGACCGGTTTTTAAAAATTAAGAGTTGCAGTGCTGCTTGGTGTATATCAGTTACAAATATGTCTACTTGCTCTCTATGTAAACAACTATAGTTCGATTCCTACCATAAATGAAAAACTCTAGTAATTATATATATTAACAATACCCCCAGAAACAACCTTTAGGGCTTTGTTACTCCAGTTGAAAAGCTAAAATGATGTAAATGTTATTTTCTAAAGCTTTAGGTTATAGTTTGTAAAAAAAAGAAAAATATTACTTCATACCTCAGCAATAGCTTGCAAGTTACGGACAGGTTTTAATTCATTTACTCCGTGACTCTTAGGTTTACCATAGGTGGCTCCTTTCGGAACAGGACGTTTACGACCACCACGTCGTACACGGATACGGAAAATGACAAAACCTGAAAATTCCATAAATTCATTTAAGGAAAAACAAAATATTGTATATATTTTACCTTGTTTAGCTCTATATCCCAACCTTCTAGCTTTGTCAGGACGGCTGGGACGTGGGGTACGGTGGAGTTTTGTCAACTGACGATATTGCCACACTCGAACTCTAAGAAGAAACCTGAGAACATCGCTTTGTTTCTTCCTATACAATTCCTGAATGTACTTGTAAGCTCCCATCCTGGAAACCTAATTAAAAATTATTATTAAAAAAATTACTACACNAAGGACGAGATATCGGTACGACTGTTTAACATTTAGAAAGCAATTTTAATGCCTGGGAGGTGAATGTTTCATTTTTGCTCATTTTAGATATTTTGAGTTCGTTCTGTGTGGTTTTGAAGTATAAAGTAGGTGCGACGTATAACATGCCTCCTAATTGCTTCAGACGTAACTCCTATCATCAATTTCATCAATTTTCAACAAATGATACTCCCAATGATTAGGAGTTGGTAGGAAAAAAATCAGTGAAAAATTTTAATAATAGTATATTAGACAAAAAATTAACAATGAGTTGAGAAAAATGAACAATGAACAAGGAATTCGAATGAGCATAGGAACACTTAGTTGTGATGAAGAATTCATTGTGACCTGAAATGCGAAGGAATAATTGAATCTATCGAATAATAGTTTGAGTCAAGAATATGTGAACACTAAAAATGAAGATAAACCAGTCATCTATCAGCCGAAAGTGATTGTGAATAATAACAATCGAAAAGCCGTCAAGAAGTATGATTTGAATTATTTTATTTATTTGCATTTTTCATCATCGTCCTAACTTAATTTTTATTGTTCACAGATTATTATGTTCTTTTATATTTCCTTTCTGCCTATTTCATTGGAATATTTCGGTTCAGGTAGGTACTTTTGAAATTTTTTAAACCTATCATTCACACATTACTAAGAGGGTCGCGCCATAAAAAAGTTTGAAAAACACTGATTTAGACCATTGAAGGAAGACTGATATATTTTCGACTTTTTTTTCAAGGGATTTTAATTGTCGTGATATATTTAGTTATTGTTGTTAAATACCGGCCGTGCCGTGTTATTCAAATATAACTCAATAAAAATGTCGATCTTTCCACGTATAATGTTTCATTAGTCGAATAATATATGCAAGTGGTTCATCATAACTTCGTTGGTTTTTCATTCTTAACCCTTGTGTTTATATTTGCATTTATGCCAGTACCTTCTGTGCACGCTCATATTCATAAAAAAGTATAGTCTCTGCGACACGATTCTATAAAAATTGCCTTGGGTTCAATAACAACTGTTAGCGTGACTGAATTTGCAAATAAAATTATACACGTCAAAGCCTGTATTAAGTATTCAAAGTGGTCGTTATTAGTTTCAATAATGCATATTAGTTCCCGACATGAGATTTTTGAATTTCCATTTTTGGAATAGTACGAATTCGCCAACATATTTACTGACATCGAGTTTAGGTCACTCAGAGGTCCCACCGCAATCAGCAAAACGAATTCAAGAAAAAGTTAAGGAGACATTTTCTCGAAATGTGTTTATTTTGAAAATTATCGATCGCAGTTACCTTGATTGGTACACAAATGATATTAATTTCATTGAATAATAATACGTAGAATGATGCAGATTTGAAATGTGTAAAACACTGGTTTTGATTACAGACACAGATTCCTTATCAACTTCATCATTACATCATTAGTACAGTAAATCTCTTCGTTTGGCCGTGTTTTGGATCACTCTTCAACCACTCTGATCCCTTCCACCATTATTTCTCAACTAAGGTCTTAATCGAGCAACCTCTTAAAGCAAAGGTACATGATGCCAATGTAATAACTGCCATTGCGATGGTTAACGTAAAATATTATTTCATTCATAGAGATCTTAGGTCGATCACCGGTTCTTCGGTGTCGATATTTTTCCAGATGAAAAAGCGCTGAACTACTTTATGACTGTCGGACCTTTGAGCGTTGTTGTGGTCATGTACAGATGGGCTAGACTAAACAAATGTATATATTACAACCTGCCGATGATCATACGCTATGGAAGGTTAAAAACACTCAGATGAGGTTTTTGTGGCTAGCGTTGGTGACGCAAAGGCTTGAGAGTTTTTTTTCGGAAACACAAAAAGTCGGTCACCGGAGCCCGTCGAGACAAGATCGGGGTTCTCATCCCTCAGCCTTCGAGGCTGAGAAAGGTGGCCTAAATAGGCGAATTATTTTGTCTAAGCGCGTGGTGAGAATAAAAATGTTTTTGTTGAAGACACACCGGGTCAACGGAACCAATGGTTGACCATGAACCACCCAAAGAGGCGTTAAGTGAGTGTCTGTTTTTTTTACTAACCAACTGATATTGAGAGAGAATTCACATATTATTTTGTCTGAGTCCACTTCCTGTTTGCAAAGAGGTTATATATTTTTGGGTTCCTAGTGCTGATTGTTCAGCTAAAGTTCATAATACAATTACCAAAAGGAGTGCAAATTTAAAGTTATACACAACTCTTCGTGAAGTAAAAGTAAAAGTATTTTGTACCGAGTTTCTGCGGTTGTAGTTATTCAACAGATTAAATTAATAGTAAATAGCATGGTTAAATTGGCGGCATTTCTTTCGTTCCTTTTTTATTTTATATAATTTAACATGTTCTTTTCATATGAGACTTTGAACGTTTTTTTTATTATTATGTCCATGGAGTCGTAGTTTTACTCATCTTTATATTTGAAACCTTCGACTTTCATTTTCTCTTGGACTGAGAAAAATAACATCCTCATAGAGTTAAGAGAACAAAAAACAATAAGAGACTTTTTGACAATCTATCGAGAAGAGAAAAGTGAGTGAAAAACATTTTAATTAAGATTAAAATTCAGTTCTGGAAACACATAATGAGAGAGAATATAATTAAGTGTACCAAATGACCAGATTTCAAAAAGACCGGCCTTCGTGCGATCGACACGAACCCTACAGCCTTTTCGGAATTTCCTAACATACAAATTTTGATGTGGAGAAATCTGCATCTGGCGGCAGCAGCTGCCAAATTTTATTTAAATAAAGCGAACACGGCAATAACGAAAGGGTTACCAAGGATTAATAGACAGTTAAGTATTATTTCACTGGTGATTCATATGTATAAAAACCCGTAGATGTTACACTGGGGACAGCTAAGTGGGATTTCACGAGGATTTCTCGGTTAGGAAATGAAATTCCATAATTCAGACCTTTTCAATTTTTGTACGTTATTACCTTCACTGTTTGACAGAATAGGATCTACTGTAGTTATTACACCAATCACTAACATTGCTCACTGAAGTTATTTCTTTCACTGTGTTACCTACGAAAGTATTCTAGTGACCATGTGTTTTAATCCATGTGAGAGCAACCATTGAATCACTCCAGAAGTACGTTCTCTGAATACTCATTCACACTTATTCCACTTTTCCAAAGTCTAACCCCTATAACAGTGGCTAACAATTCCAACCTAGGTAGGGTTATATTTTTAGGAGCTATTCTTGATGTGGCCTCAACGAGTTCAACAAACACTCTTCCTTCCACAACTTTTCTGAGAAATACGCAGCAAGCATAATCAGATTTACTAGTATCCGAAAACACATGAATCGTTACATGGTCATAATCAACTCTTTGGCCAGCACTGAGTGATCTTGGAATTTCACACAGACTGAGAAAATGTATTTGTTTCAACCACATATCGAAATGTTTTACAATATCACTTGGCAAAACTTCATCCCAATCAACTTTTAGATTCCAAGTTCCTTTTAATAATAATTTTGGAATAAGTGTTACTGGGCATGTGAAACCTATTGGATCAAATATTGTATGTACTGCTAGTAGGTATTTCTCTTAATGTTCTTGGAGTGTCTTCTAATTGAATGAGTGCATGTACATCACACGAAAGTTCATCATTATGAAAATTCCAAATCAATCGCAAAACATATATATTTTCATTTTGAGCTACGTCATCTTTCATGCTTGAATTGGAATTGAAAGTCCAATCTCTAAGATTGAAGCCTCCCAACGACATTAATTGTTTGGATTCAATAATAAATTTATTCATTTCTTTTTCATAATCAAAACTACATAAAAAGTTTACATAAAACGATTTCTTCAACAAATTAGCTGTATCTTGGAATTCTGGAAGTGATCTAGATAAATGGTATTCAATATTTGCAGCTAAAATGAATGGACTAAATTTCAAACCAAGAACTACTCGACGCTGCTTGAAAAATTTTATTTTTTCAAATGAATCATCTTGCCACTAAAGAAATCCCAGAAAATTCCAATCCTTTTCAGTAACACTGATCAGTAGAAATGATTTTTCAATGTCAGCTGTAACTCCTATCTTTCCTAATCTGAATTCAACTAAAAGTGACGGGATTAAATCAATCATATTTGGACCTTTTTCTAGACACCCATTCAAAGATACACCTCTCTTATCAGTTGCCGAAGCATCAAAAACCGGCCTCACCTTTGTGGTTATACTGACTTCTTTAATGACANCTTCTTTTACTTCATCAATCATTGCCAGTGTTTTCCAGTCATAAAAAACTTTTTCGTATTCTTGAAATTCATCTGTATTTCTTAACTTTTTGGTAGTAGACATCAACCGAGAATTGGTCATTTATTCATTTCTCCTTATTTCCGGATGACCATCAATCCAGGGTAGATGAACTTCATATCTGTTCTACTTCCAAGCTATCGTTTGATTAACATTCTTAAAAACTTCTTCTTCATGTTCATCTTTGGTTTTGAAATGCGCGACATCTTTTATTCCTATCACATCCAAATTCCATAGATCTGCAATGGAAAACTCAGTAAAACCGGCAAATATAGTAGAATAGGTATGTCGAATATTCACTTACTCTTCGACCCATCATTGTCCAACCTAAATAAGTTTCGAAAGCATTGTACATAGCCATTCATCAAATTTTCGATTTCCCCTGTCAAGAGCTGACCAAAAATATCGGCTACTAATAATAATTGTATTTCATTTGAAACGTCAAAGTTTGTAGTATTACTCAAAATTATATTTTTATGTTTCAAATAATCTATAATGGATAAATCAGTCAAACGAGGTAAGTTGTTACATATTTTCACTTGTTCCACCACATTCACCTCTGTTTTAAACGTATTATTTGGATTTTGTATAATGAAATTATACATATCATGTATTTTTGGTTCTGACTGAAACCCTCCAAAAACACCTTGTACAATATTTTCCCGACGAACA